GATTCGGACATTGATTCTGGTTCTGCTGTTCAATTTATTGTTGTTCTTTCATGAGTTGAATAAGAGAGGAAGAGATAAAGAGGAGGAGGTTGTTGAGCGAAGAAGAAGAGCTTTGTTTTGGTCTATGCCGAAGTACATCTTCTTCTTCTTCTCTAATTCTTCTTCTTCTTCTTTCCCTCTCTCTCCTTTCAAGTTCTTTCATTTCATTTTGCAATTGGATGGAGTTGAGCTCAAGTTCAATTATTTCTTTTGCATTTGGGCAGCATTGTACTTTCTGATGGTTGTGGACTTCAAAATTGGCCAGGATCGTAACAAAACAATGATTTAGAGTTTCTATGGCTTCTAAGTTGCAAACTTTGCACCTTGAGGAATGTTCGGCTCTGTCTTCTTTTCTTCTTCTTTGTGCTAGCCAGTCGTTTACTGGGACTGCTCTGAAAGTAATGAGCCATAGTAGGTTTGCCAGTTTGACTGGTTTTGTGCTGAAAATTGTGGTCCAAGAGGGTTTTAAGGATGCTGTTGCGAGGGAACTTTCCTCTTTTTGCCATCTTTTTTGTACTATTGAAGTAGTCGAGATGGGGGTGGAAAATAGCTTATAACCTAGTTTGGCAGTGTACTCCGTTAGTTTATATCTTCTTGTTGTCCTTGCGATGTTGTTAGGGTTGTTCCAAGACCATTCTGCGGGGTTGACTTCTAGTTGTTGGATTTCTAGCTCAGGGTTGTAGACTTTGTTCATCTCTCCTTCTAAGACTCTGATTCTCCTAAGGTTGTGGATTTTATAATATCCCTCTGCCCTACTTTTGTCATTTAGGAAGTTAATTGGGTTCCCTGTTTCTTTCAAGGGGAAGATGCTACAGCTAATCCATTCGTTGTTGTGAATTTTGTTGCTTAAAATTTTCAGGACTTCTTGTGTGTTTGTCTGATTCTTCTGTGCGGCCCAGTCTCCTGTCTGCCATTTTTGGTCCCCTCTTAATAATCGTCTCCATTCCATTGGTATGGATTCAATGATGAGTGAGAGATTGGCTTGTAGATTGTGATTCCCCTTGAGAGTCGGTCTTAGCCAATTCCCCCATTTGGCATCTGATTTAGTGAGGGAAAAACTTTCTCCTTTTTCGTTTTTGATCCAGGGGTTGCCGAATAAAGGTTGTCTAAGGACTTCGTCTCTTCTTTTGGGGCCTAGTTTGTTTTCTGGGAATATTTTTCTCCAAATGCGCATTAGTTGTTCCCATAGGGATTTGGAATGTTCATTGGGTGTCTTCTGTTTGGTCTGATTGTTGGTTTTGAGTCTTTTTGTCTCTTGGAAGAGGCCAATTATTATTAAATATCTAGAATAGGCCCGACATGTTAGTGGGGGAGTTATATGGTGCTAATTGTCTGATGTGGTTGAGGGTCAGGGGTGCCCATTGAAGGTTGCTTTGTAGGGTAAGTCTTATTATCCATTTGATTGGTAGGGCCTGTATTTGTCTGGCTGGGTCTAAGAGGCCCAAGCCTCCTTTTGCCCTCGAAAGTGTTACTATTTGCCATTCTACTTTGTGGATAAAGTGTTGCTTCTCCGGATTGTCGGTCCACAGATATGCTGCAGATCTTCTTCTTATTTCCTGTTGAAAGTCTGTTGTTGGAAACCAAATGGAAGTGGTGTACCACATCATGGAGAGGATTGAGTTGTTAAGTGCTAGTACCCTGCCTAGGAGTGATGTGTGTGATCCTTGCCATTTGTGCATTTTGTTGATCATTGCAGTTAGTAGTGAAGGTGCTGTTATTGGGTGGCTTCCCTTTATGTTTAAACTTATTCCCAGGAAGCGGATCGGGGTCGCCGGGTCTGTCCAGTGAAAACCTTCTGGGGTGTTTGACGTGGGTGGGGGGTCCGGTGAGATCCACCAGCCTATCGTCTTTGGCCAGTTGACTTTCATTTCCGAAGCTAGCTGGAAGGCTTGCATGGCTCTAGTTAGTGCCTGGAAAGAGGAGTCTGAAGCCCTTATTAGTATCGTTAAATCATCAGCGAAGAGAAATGTGGTCAGGAAGTGTATTAGGTTACCTCTCTCATCGCGTATATTTTCTAATCTTTCTATTGAGTTATCTTTTCTTAGAAAGGCTGCAATCACTTCCATGACGAAGAGGAAAATTGAGGCTGCTAAGGGATCACCTTGTCTCACTGATCTCGACATTTTGTATGGGTTCGATAGGAACCCGTTGATTTGAACAATTCCCTGAGCGTCATTGTATAGTACTCTTACCCATTTACGGAAGTTCGGGCCTACCCCCATTTTTTCCATGCAAGTTTGTAAGAAGTCCCAGTTGACTTGATCATATGCTTTCTCAAAATCAAAGAATAGGATGGCTGCTGTTATTTTTTTCTGATTTATTAATTTAGTTGCTTCGGTTAAGCTCATTACATTGTCTAATATGAGTCTGCGTGGGATGAATCCTGTCTGATCTAGGTGGAAGCAGCTTGCAGATCCACTTAATCTTATCGTTAGTGGATTTGTAAGCAGCAGCAGCATGAAAGACCCAGTTACTTTTGTGTTTGGTGTATACGCCCTCCCTATGGGCCAGTTTGACGGCCGGGTAGGTTTTAACCATCAGTTTTCGCCCCCCTTGGTCTATCACCCCTTTCTCTAATGGGAGCAAAAAAAGGGAGAGAAAATATGCACGGGCAGGGGAGAGGTTTCGGAGTGGAACATAAAGCTCATTCGTTTGACCACCTTCGGGGGGTCTTTTCACACACAGCGTTCTGTTCTGTAAAGTGTTTCTCACTTTACTAACCCACGATGGGGGGGACTGTTCTCCTTGTCGTCTTTCACTGTTGCTTTCCGAGCCCGGGTGATTCCCAACCTGCCTGTTTCCTTACTCCCCCCCTTGTTCCTTCCCCGTACACACCTCTGTTCTAGGGGGGGTCTCACTCCTGCTCCGTTCTTCCTCAGTCAACACCTCCCCCTCATCCCTCGCCTCTTGCATCTCAGTATCATGCCTTTTTGTTCCTTGGTCTTCCCCTGCTTCCTCTCCTGGACCCACTATCCTCCACTGGCTTTTTTGGCCCTTGTCCGATCGTAGGGAGATGTTCCCACCACTGCTTTGCCCCACCTCCCCATATTTCCCCCCAATCTGTTCATACGGGCTGTGGCGCATTGCTCCCTCGTAGAAGAGCAGCGGTGCCATCCCCCTCGCCCGTTTTAGTGCCATTCTTACCCCTCCCCATCCATTGTTTGCCCCTGACTATGTGGTCTTGTTTCCACAGCCCAATCCCTGTTTTCTATTTGTGAGCCCCTTTTTGTTATTGTTGTTGCTGTTTTTTTTTTTTTGTTTGTTTTGTTTTTTGTTTTGTTTTTTTGTTTTGAATCGGATTCCTTATCCAGATTCGGAGACTTCTCGTTCGGGGAGACATCCGATCTTTCAAGGACCTGACGCCGTGGCAGTCTCGGATGAATCCCCTTTTGTTCCTCGTTTTCACGTTATTGTGGCAGCCTTCCTTTTGTTATCGCCCATTCTTTCTCTTTGTCTGATTTTAACTTGCCCTTAATTCGGTACTTGTGTTCTTGTTCGTTGAACTGCGTGTTTTTTTTTTTTTTTGGACTGGCTGGGTGGACAGGGAGAAGGTGACGGGTCAGGAGGAAAGGGTCAGGGCAGGGAAAGAGAAGCCATCACCCCTATTTGTAATACCGCTTGCTCTCTATCGCTCCTTCAAAGGCCACTTGTCCTCTCTGAGCCTTCCCCGCAATTCGTTTCCTCCTTGCTGGCCCTCCCCGCCTCACCAATAAAGCGTTTTTTCAAGCGAACCCGAGTGCGCCAGCAAGAGAGAGAGAGAGAGAGAGAGAGAGAGAGAGAGAGAGAGAGGGAGAGAGAGAGAAAGGGTTCTCGGGGTGCTGCGGACTCCTCCAACCCCCTCGTGCTGAGTCGCGCATCCTCTAAGAACGACACCCAGTATACCTCCTTGCTCTCGTCTTCTGCCCACGAGATTTTCCCCTTTTTTTTTTTGCCCAGTTACTGTTCCTCCCTGACGATCCCCCATCAATGAACCCCTTTGTCTCTCTGGCGTGCATCAGAGTTTTTTTTTTTTTTTTTTTTTTTTTTTTTTTTTTTT